TCCGGGATTTTTTTTTTTTTTTTTGAGTTGGAGTCTCACTCTATCACCCAGACTGGAGTGCAGTGGCTGCTCCTGGCCACCGCAGCCTCGACCTGCTGGGCTCCCGTGATCTTTCCGCCTCAGCCTTCCAAGTAGCTGGAAGTACAGGCGTGTGCTACCACGCCCGGCTCATTTTTGATTTATTGTAGGATGAGGTCTCGCCAAGTTGCCCGGGTGGGTCTCGAACCAGTGGGCTCAGGCAACCCACTCACCTCAGCCTCCCAAAGCGGGATTACAGGCTGAGCCACTGAGCCGGCTTTGGGGCTGTTTGTGAGGCAGCTTGCTGAGCCGGGAGCTCTGGGTGGGGCCGAAGGAGGCTGTGGGGATGGGCAGGGGCGGGGCGCTCCAGGCACAGGTAGGCTGGCCCCACGTGCTGCACAGAGACAAGTCTGCCGCCTGCTCCCAGGGCTGTTCAGTAGGGAGATGGCACGTCAGAGTGGGGCATGGGTCCGTTCGTGGTGGGTAATGGGGAGGTGTCCTGTGGGAGGCTGATAAAATGGCCTGTCCAGGGGGCCGGGTCGCAGGGGATGCATGTGGCTCTGGGGCCTGTCCCATACCGCTCACAGTCTTTGCTGGCCTAGGAGCTGGAAAGGAGGGAGGGCGCCCCAGTGACATCCTCACAGGGCATGTGTGTGTGTGTATGTGCGTGTGTGCGTGCGTGTGAGAGAGAGAGAGAGAAAGAGAGAGAGAGAGAGAGAGAGAGGGAGGGAGGGAGGGAGGAGCACCAGGCAGTGTTGGAGGACTGGAGCTCAGGTCACATTCATTCTCACTCACTCATTCCACAAACATGCATTGAGCCCCCGGCAGGTCAGGGATCGTGTGGGGGTTGTCCCATGTCACTGGACCCGGAGTAAGGAATCTTGGTGCCGCCCCCCCAGGCACAGGTTCAGCTAAGGGGGACTGAAGACCGCCCCTGAGCCGAGCACCCAGCAGGTGTACTCGTAAGCATCACCTCCCTGTTATTTATGAGGTGGGTACAGTCACCCCCTTCTCTTCTGCTGCAGGATGTGACCTTTGGTTGACTTCCCAGCTCTGTTCCCCTGGAAACCTGATGAGGGAGACTGTCAGTTGTGTTCCAAGCGACACCGGTGAGTGCACTGGTGAGTGCATCTGGATGGGGCCGGCTATGGACACCCACGGGGACATCACACACCCCTGTGACTGGTGTGTCCCTGGCAGGGACGCTGGAGTCTGGGCTTCTGGGTTGTAACAAGAGATCCTGGCTCCTGTGGGGCAAGAGGCATCGAAGGCAGGGCAGCCCCCCGACCTGTCCCTCGGAGGACCAGGAGGAAGGGTGACTGGCTGGCTTACGGACTGCGCCAAGGCAGAGCAGCCCTGCTAGCAGCCTGTGGGTTCCATCCGCGTCCTTCTGAGCTGACCGACACCAAGTGTGGCCTACGCTGGTCTCACGGCCGATTTTCTTACGGGGATCAAGAAGGAGATCCCTAGGGGCACTGCACGGACACTGAGGCTCAGAGAGGTGAAGTGACTCACTGCAGGCCGCCCGTCCCTGAGCCTATGGCCCTAGAGGCCTACCTCGGGCCGCACGGGGTCCTCGATGCCCACTACGCAGATGCAGGTGAGGTCACTGAGGATGTCGTTCTCATTGTCCCAGTCCGGCTCCGGGCTGCTGGGGAAGTCACGGTAGGCCACGCAGATGGTCCGGAGCCCATCACAGGCCATGGGCTCGATCACCTTCTTCACCATCTCGTCTCGGTCTCGGGGCCTGAAAACCCGGGGCTCACCCGCCCCGCTGAGGATCTTGCAGCACCTGAGGGGAAAGGGAGGGAGGGGAGGACCCCAAGGAGTCTTCCTCCGACTGGCTTGGAGCTTGCCTCCCCTCCCCGGTGATGATGGCTGGCTGTGGCTGGTCACCGGGCGCCCATCCATCCATCTCCCACAGGGTCTCGGCCCAGCCCAGGCCCCTGCACCCTGGGGGGGGGGGCAAAATCAGGCAGAACGTCTCGCCATTTCTGCTCCGGGCCATTCAGCAAGTGCAGCTGCCCTTTGATCTATTACATACTCACAAGATCTCATGTGAAAAAACCTTCCCACAGCTAAAATGGTTTGCAGAGGATATAAAATCCAGGCTGGCAGCTCTCGATCCTGCGTGCTTGTCAGAATTGCTTTGGGGAGCGTTTCATCAATAGCCACGCGTGAGCCTTGCCTCAGAGGTTCCCTTTCAATGTGTCTGGGGTGAATCCAGGCATCAACGGTTTTAAAAAAGCTCCCTGGAGCGATTCCAATGCATCGCCCCTGGGCTAGGCAAATCCCCTCAATGCACAAGTGGGAAACTGAGGCCCAGAGACGGGCAGTGGCTTGCTTAGTTCTCCAGGTTTACTTCTGGCACCTGGAGTCAGAAGAACTAGGCTAATAAGGAGAACCACTGCCACCAACTGACTCTGTGCTCCGGAAAGTGAAATAAGAGATCTAGGTGGGATAACGGCAGAACTTCACAATGATCCAGCGACTCAGGGAGGAGGAGGGAAGCATTCTCCATCTACAGAAACTGTGAAGAGGATACAGTGGCAAGGGCAGTGGGCGAGGGCCCCTGGAGGTGGAGGTGACTCTTGCTGGGTGACCCCGGGCAGGGCCCTCTCCGGGCCTCTGGGTGTCGGATGGCCGCTCTAGTCCCAGTTGACTGCTAAGCCCAGCCTGGAAGGCAGCCAGGGCTGTGTGACCGGGTGTCCCCGGTGCCCCCGCTCCCCCGTGGGGCCCGCCCTCGGCTGGCCGCCCTGCCCCACTTACTTCTTGAGCACAATCTCCGAGGCGCCCTTGCTGTACATGCGGAAACTCTCGTCGGGCAGCTTGATGACGGTGCTCATGGACTTGCGCACGGAGTTGAAGGTGTACACCTTGTACAGCTTCTCCTCCGGCATCTGGCTGCGCACGGGCTCGTAGTCCTGCTTCAGGTCCAGCACGAAGCCCAGCAGGCCGCACTCTGTCTTGTTGCCCACCTGCCGGGGCAGGGCACCCTCCTTCTCCGGGGGCTGCAGAGAGAGGCAGGAGTGGCTTGCACCTGCAGGCAGGGTCTGCCCCGGTGGTCTGTTGGGGTACTGAGCCCTTGGGGAGCCCTTGGCCCCCTCCCTGCACCCCCAGGCCTCTGCATCCCAGGTCCAGTTGGCTCCGGATAAAAGGAGCGCAGTAAGATCATCTTTTAAGAAAGTGTGAGTTATGTCAAGCATTAAAAAAAAGAGAATGTTGTAACAAACCGTTGTGTTCTTAGCATCCGGCTGTAGAATCTCGACATGATGTCACACTTGCCTCAAATTTTTAAAAAAATAAATAAAACATTAGATAAAGTTGAATCCCCTCTGCTCTTCCCCACCTACATAATCTCCCTCTTTTCCCAGAAACAGCTTCTCTCTTAAATTTGGTGTTAATATGGCTGTATGTGTGTGTCTTAACTTTTTATTTTGATTTGCATGCAATACAAAGTAACACAGAGGGAAGGGTCACCTGAGCCCAGGAGATCAGGACCGCAGTGAGCTGTGATGGTGCCACTGCCTTCCAGCCTGAGTGACAGAGTGAGGCTCTGACTCAAAGTAAGAGAAATAGCACAGACGGATGCCATATACCCTTCATTGCGTTGCCCACTGTCATCACCACAGTGCAGTGTCACAGCCAGGAGAGTGATGCTGACACAGTGAAGCCACCTTGTTCAGAGCTCACCAGTTTTGCATACTCACGTGTGTGGGCACGTGTGTTTCTATGCCGTTGTGTCCCGCAGGGATTCCTGTGACCACCTCCACCATCAAGATACACAGAAGCTCGTCACGAGGGTCCCTGTGCTGCCCTTCTAGAGCCACAGTCTCTTCTCTCCCTCCTCCTCCCCGACCCTGTCCTCCATTTCCACACTTTCATGTTTCCAGCGTTTTGTATACATGGACATACAGTATGTCACTTTCAGAGACTGGCCTTCTGCTCTGCACAATGCCCTTCAGATTCAGGCAAGCTGTCACACACACCAATAATCTGTTCCTTTTCATGGGTGAGTAGTATTCCATGGTACGGACAGACTGTCTCTCGTGATTTTGATTTAGATTGATCAAAACAAAGCTGCTATTTTTGTCTGTTAATCATGGTCAGGCGGTTTGGTTTTTAGAAGAACCAGAGTCTCACTATGTTGCCCAGACTGGTCTCAAACTCCCGACCTCAAGCCATCCTCCCACCTCGGCCTCCCAAAGCGCTGGGATTACAGGCATGAGCCGCCACGCCTGGCTGCAGAGGGTCAGACGTGGGCAGTTTAACCTGACGTGCCTGTCTGTGCATGCAGTGCTGTTTTGCGTGTTGCACACGTCCCATCAGAAGGCTGCACACATTCTTCTGTGACTCGCTTCGTGCCTTTATTTATTTATTTTATTTATTTGTTTTTTGAGTTGGAGTCTCGCTCTGACGCCCAGACTAGAGTGCAGTGGCCGCTCCCAGCCACCGCAGCCTCGACCTGCTGGGCTCCGGCAATCCTTCCGCCTCAGCCTTCCGAGTAGCCGGAATTACAGGCACGCAGGGAGGTTGATTTTTTGATTTATTGTAGAGATGAGGTCTCACTGCCCAGGTGGGTCTCGAACCCGCGGGCTCAGGCAATTCACTCACCTCAGCCTCCCAAAGGCGCGGGATTACAGGCTGAGCCACCGAGCCCGGCTTGCTTCGTGCCTTTAATATGCTGTTTTGAGACTCGTTCAGGTTAACTGCTCAGTAGACTCCATGATATGGATAAGCTGCAACTGGCTCACCCCTTCTCCTGGCGCCGCCCCGGTCTCCTTCTCTCTCTCACACATTAGAAACACTGTCTTAGGCCCCTGCTCTGTGCTGGCCCGCTGCCAGCTGTGGGCTGTGTGAACCCCTCAACTTCTGCCCTGGAGACGGCTAGTCTACTACCGACCGCCTCCCCCCAGCCCCTCTCACTTCCCCGTGGCTGCCTGAACATGAGCTTTTGCCTCTCTGCCTTTGCCTCTGCTGTTTTTTCCGGGTGGGTCCCACTCCCTTCCCTGCCAGGCAAACTCCTCCTTGCCCTTTAAGGAGCTGCTCAAATATGACCTTGGCTTGAAAAATGGCCTCGCAAGTCTGTTTCCCCAAGGAAGTGGGTTGTCATCTATCCTTCCCTGGGTTCTCAGAGTCCCAAGCACAACAGGTGCTCATTCATGTTTCCTAGGTGGCGCCACCCTGGCAGGGGGATGTGGGTTCACAGGTAAGTGAGTATGGAATGCCTCCACATGGGCCCCGATGGGGGGGACCCACAGGTCCCTGTGGGTGGCATATCTGCAGGCACACTCACCTCCACAGGGCACCTCCCACCCCATCACTTCAACACAATTCATACTCAGCCACGCTGGTGGAGGTGGCTTTGGGGGTGGCAAAAGTCACTGGAGATAAACCCAAACCCTGGGGGGATTTTGGAGAGGAGCAAATAGCCACGGACATGGCTTTGTCCCCCACGGGCTTTCATGGGTCTCAGACAAGGAGCCCTCTGAATCCTTGTCCTCTATCTCCTTCACATGGCTCACAAGAGCAGCCTGGGCAGGAGCAAGGTGGACTTGAGAGGATGCCAGTGGGGACCGGCTGTGGGGGACAGGGCGGCCCTCTGTCAGCAACCAGACACGTCCTGGCCTGCTCCCCTCCTCCATGGGCAGGGAGGGCTTGGGCTCAGGGAGAGGACCCGAGCCATGTGGAGACACAGGCCTCAGCTCGAGGTGGTCCTGAGCCTGGGGGATGCACAGGAAGGAAAGAGCCCTAGAACCTAAGCCATATCCTTGGTTTCCCTACCTGTAAACTGGAGAGGATGGAGCAGATGAGAAAAATCAATCCTTTCCTTAAAGTAAACCATGGTAAGGGAGGGTG